TTTTTATGACAGTCTGAATGCGACAAATCTGATTTTTTTTTTTTTTTCAAATCCGACCCAGGCCGTTTCAGTATGTGGTTTTAAATCGGATACATATCTGATGTTTTCAAAGTGACTGCAGTGTGAACGCTCATGTCACATTCCATCTGACTTTTTCATCAGGAGGAGGGGGTGAAGGATCGATAAGACACTAACCTGAAGTCTCGCTGTTTAAATCTGTAGCTCCATGTGTTTACAGCTCCAAACACAAGTCCAGTTGCTTAATGTTTTTACTTTTCATTTTCCACGTAGATAGTATGATAATAACGATGTCCAGCCTGGGTCGCGGAGAGTATCGATCCTAAAGTTAGCTACTCGGTCGATACTTTTTCCAGCYCGTAGTTTCGTTCAAAAAAATAAAAAGCTTCACTGGAGCATCCCGGTCAGAGGCTGGTTCAGATATAAACACTGAACTAAAGAAGCAGGTCAGATATTATTTAATCAGCTCTGATTAAACAGCAACTTCCGATTCGATGTGTAATATGTAGCATCCATGCTAGCTCTGTAAACAAACAAGCCGGCTGATGAGACGTCACGTCGTTTACTGCGCATGCGTGTCACATCAGTGCTGTGTAGCGTTCACACAGGGGTCTGATGCAGGTCACATTTAAAATGTAATGTGAACGTTCACACAAAAAGATMRGATTTTTTCAAAAAATCAGAACTGAGCATTAAGACCTGCAGTGTGAACGTAGCCTTAGTGACTTAAAATCATCTTAGCACAAAAGGTTGTCTAAATGTGTTGCCTAATCCACAGAAATTAGGTAAATAAATTTGGGTACTAAAACAAGAGAATCACCTAGAAGCCTATTAGCAAAATGTGATTCAATGATCTAAATCGGTTTAGTTAACTTTGGCCATACGTTTGCACTGATGGTGAGCTGAAGCAACACAAAGAGCAGGTGTCGCAGAAACAGTACAAATACATGGCAGTGTGTGCTTTCACACATGGATTAAGTGTTTCACTCATGCCATATGTGTTTCTTGGCAGAAAATATTGCAAATAAAGCTTAAAGAGTGTGTGAGGGGGTATTTTGTGCTCTTGAGGTCTTTTTTTTCACTTCAGGAAAGGAGCCTCCATGTGGAATGAAGGGGTAATGAGACAAAGTGAAGTAAACCAGCAGATGTTCACCTGCTCGAATTCAAGCCTCGAAAACGTCCTGCTGTTTATAAAACCGTCTCATGCCTTTGTTTTCTCTCCTCTCAATCGTCTGTTGCCTCAGGATGTGTGTCTCCGAGTGTCCCAGCGGCTTCTTCCGTGACGACAGGAAACGCTGCAAGAAGTGCTCCTCTTTGTGCGAGACCTGCGTCGGGAGCCGCAGCGATCAGTGCATCACATGCAGGAGCGGGTACCACTTCATCGAGGGCTCCAACACATGTGTCGCCAACTGTGCCGATGGCTTCTACCTCGACAGCAGTACGTTTTTAAGCCGCCCAAGCTGCCTCCACAATTCATCCACACTTAACTAACAAGCACACGTGATGCTGTATAATGTTATTAGGATTTTTTTTTTCTTTTGCACCTGTTTCGCTAAAAAAAAATGCTTCGAATTCTAATAAACCTAACATTTCTGGGGACACTATTAAATTGGACACACTGAAAGAAAACTAGATGCTGGCTGCTCAGTTTTGACTCTATTACTTGAAGCTAATTTTAATGTCCGTGTATCAATTCATCAAGGATCCCGGTTTCACCAAAATTACTGAAAGCTGGAATAAATTTTCCACAAATGGAAGGCAGGCTTTGCCTTTAACAAACATCTGTCCACCATCTGCTTTGCAAAAAAAAAAAAAAAGAAATAAAAAATAAGGAAAACTGCTTTTACTCTCCAGCTCTGTGATGCCATTTTGTCCTTGATGTAACGTCTAGTCRCTTGTTTATTTTCATGCACGTCATAAATCCAACAGAACGCAAAAAAAAAAAATCGGTTCTGGCAACAGGTTTTCTTCCACCGAAATAAAATGTAATGACAGCTAAAATTAAGCAGATTGACTTGACTCCCTTTAGGTTATCTTTAAGAAAATTAGACTTTTTGTGTCTTGATAATAAACGAAGTTGTGCTGGGATTCAAGCGATATTTTTAAAGATTAGACTTGGGTTCTAGACGTGTGCCAGTCTGCATGAATGCAGATCAGGAACAAAAGACTCCATATATCTGTTAATTATGTGTATGTTTTTGCAGGCACATTAGTGTAAATCCTGGCAGGACGTCTGGCAACAGATCTGAAATGATCCAAGTTCAGTCATAATATTTCAACAGGCCAAGATTTAGTGGAGAATTTTCCCTTTGAAATGTTGGCACGGCTTAACGGCGTGTTGTTTCGTTTTAAATGAGCAAACTAGTTTATTTTCTTTTTATCACTCCGCCAGCAAAACTAGGAGAATTTCCTGCTTTCTTTCAGCACATTGACAGATCCATCTTTTTTTCTCTCCCTTCGCTCATAAAAAGTTTTTGGAGGCGACAAAATAGAAAACATTTTTTGTGACAACTTGTATCACCTGAGATTTATGTTATTATGATATTATTATATGTTACAAATGATTGTAAAGACAGATTATGAAAACTTTCTGACAGTGTCACATACAGATTTAAAATCATTTAGGGTCAGACTTTAGATTTCTGATACTGCCTGGTTAATTTCTTTATCATGTAGTACTAATCTTATACAATGGGATTAAAATGTAAAAAGATGAGTTTGCAAGTACTATGACATAAAAATAAAATTGTTCTTTAAGTGAATCCCTGATAAATGACAAACTAAAAACATCCAGTTCTTAACCTAAAGAGGTCAAATAAACTTCCAAAGGCAACAAAACAGCTTTTTTCTTTTTGTTGATATCATTCAACATTCTGTCTAAATCTTATCTTCATCTAACTAATAACCTTTAATTATGCTTCATCTCCCCGTTTATACCTTTTTTTTTGATGATGATGATGATAAAGCTGATTAAACTCCAAAGGTTAGGTCATACTTGAGCTGTTTTCTTTTGTAAATTTAGAAACAACAGCTTTCATTTGTAAATACTGTCAAAACTTTGGCTTAAAATGAAAATAAAAACATTGTTTTTTTTGTTGCTGAGTGCAGCAGCGTCCATGTGTTAAGCATTAAATACTCCTCTAATCTAGATTTTACAACTGTTAATCTGGAAAATGAGAAAAAGAAGATTTTGTTGTTGATTTTCTTTAATATAGGCTCATGTTTAATTTAAGAGTTCCTCAGTATCATTTTTGTTTCCACCCATCCGGTTGTTTTGGTTAATCATTCACTTAAATCACACGTCTGTCTCCCGTCTCACTCCTCACTGGTCGTTTTTATCCTTTAGTGCCATTTTGTTTTTCTTTAAACGTATCTTGATTCCAGCCCTGCCTCTGCTTGACGAGCTCTCTGTTTTTCAGATTCCAACATTTGCAGAAGATGTCAAGAAAACTGCAAGAAATGCACAAGCTTCAATATCTGCACAGAATGTAAACAGGGGACGAGGTAAGCTGGAATAAATGTTAAGTAACAAAAAGCTCTGATTTGATTAAAAGAACTGATTAATTTAAGGTCCTCCTCTATCAAAAATATGTTGGATAGGAAAGAAACTTATTTGAATACGTACAGCAGAGCGTTTTCTCTCACCTCATGCAATAATTGCTCATTTTCATGCAAAAACATTTCTCTCCATCTCTCTTCTTTAACTCTCACACTATTTTCCTCCTTTCTTTTGCCTTTATGCTGCGAGACAAATCGCTCGTCTTAAGCGAAAGCCTTTTCATCACACCCATAGCTGTTTAGAAGCGCCTCAAAACAACCGTGGGCATAATTTCCTACAATCTGCTGTGTTTTAGGAAACATTTGTCTTTCCATTCACACCTTCACACACATTTCTACATCTTAACGTTTGACCACTGTGAGAAAAAAAAATAAAAACGTGACTAAGCTGCAAATTCATTTATTTTTCTGACAGCTACACTGTTCAAACCTCAATAAAAGCCTAATTTACCCCCAGAATATGGACGGTCTTGATTTTTATCAAATAATTCGTACAAAAGCATGTCTTAAAACTGAGTGTCAGTGTTGTGGTTTCATGATAAAAATCTTTTGTTACTCTGCAGGGATACTCTGCTGCTAATTTAGAGCAGCACATTACAGTAAGCTGTGGTTTTGGGTCGCAGCATGAAACATTGAAAACAACTGTTTTTSACTAGGGAGCCCAAATGAACAAACCTGTATTTACAATGTGACCAAGGCGTATTCACATCCACACAAACTTGTCACGTGGGGACTTTTAATGAGTGTATTTGCTGTTAGGAGGCGTTCTTGTTATGAACCCAGACGTTTTAGTTATGTTCCTTTTTTTTTTAGTTTTATGGCCACTACACTTGACCTGAAAGAGTATCAGACGTTTTAAAGTGATGGAATTTCCAAAGGGTCACGAAGGCAACCCTCGAAGTGCTTTAAAACGTTTTGCAGCGTTGAACTGAACTGTAAGTGTTCGGTGCAGCCAGAGGTGGAGGTGGAGGCCATAATTTCTCCACAACGCTATTCAGATCTCACTAAGGCGCAGTCTACGCACACACAAACACACACGCACGCTCGGCTCCCCCTCTTCCACTTAGTCCTGCGTTAATGCTCTGTTAGGAGCCAGGGAGGAAGAGAGGACCAGATCATTTCTGGGAAACTACGGCTAACGCGTACCAGCTGTTTTTCAGCTCAGTGCAGTGAACTCACAACCTGTTCTCACTGTGACCTCACAGAAAGTGACTTTTTAACCTACAAACCTGCTTCCTAGCTGACCTTTATCCTGACATCTGGCACAAAAGCCTAAATCCCTTGTTCTGGGTCAAAACCACAGATGCTTTCACAGACTGATCGTTTTTTTTTCCTGCACATTAGACAAAATATGCACCAAAGGCCAGAAAATACTACTTGTTCTGCAGGTGTCCTTTGTTTTACTTTCCCTGTTTTGTCTTTGCTTTTATGTCACACCAGCTTTCACGAATTTAGAGTTTTATCTAAACGTTTTTAGGGCTGCAAAATTTATCATTGCAGTATTAGCCTGTGCAGTAGGCATGTCGCAGAAAACCACGCAACCTGCACAAAATGATTGATGCAGTTAATGCATTTTGTCGGCATCAGTCTAATAAACAAACTGGACTGATAATAAACTGATAGTAAGGGGTGTTTTGTAATATTTAAAGCATCATGAAATGTTTAATAGAGGCGATTGTTTGCAGTTTGTTTTTCATTGCTTATACAGCTGTGTCTAGTTGCACTTTTTTAATTAACACTGTCATGTTGGAATGGAAATTATGTATTAGTTGTTTATTTACTCTGAACCCAGAACAGAAAGACATCGACACTACATGAGTACTTGACACTACTTGAGTATTTGTTCATGTAGCGCGTCATATCGTCATCGCAATATTAAGCACCGTTATCGCAGCTTTTCCTGATATCGTGCAGCTCTAAACGTTTTAGTGAAATTTACCATGAAGGTAAGCATGTGTGTTTGTTTATAATGTACGAAGGTGTGTTTTGTTTATTTCCATCCCAGTCTTCAAGGAAATAAGTGCCAGATGACCTGCCTCCCAGGAACTTATTACAACGGCCACAGGCGGACCTGTGAGCACTGTCATCGAGCCTGTGCCACCTGCGCAGGTGAGGACAGATCTAATAACAAACTACCACAAGCCAGACAACAGTAATAAGCTTTTCCAGAACATATTTTGACATGTCTATAATCCTGTGTTTTGCAGGCACAGGTGCAGAAGCATGTACTAAGTGTGCAGATGGGTATTTACTTGAGGACTGGAGGTGTGTGTTGACGTGCAGCCCTGGTTCTTACCTGTCAGAGCAGACCTCAGACAGTGGACAGGTGCAGAGGTCCTGTAAGAAGTGAGTCGACCAGCCGTCTCCGTTCTTTTGTCCTATTTGACAGATATAAAAAGTAAATCTTCTTTTGTCTATGAAATTTAAGTTTATGTTTTTACCTTAATTAAAGTCCTTGTTTGTCTATATCCTATAAAAAATCCCTGCTCTGATTAACTTAAAAGGATTTGTAGATACTTTATAACAAGTATCCCAAAAACATGGATGTTTCACCCTCCATTCAGAAATATAAAACGTGTTTTGGACTTTCTCCAGACTTCRAATGAAAACTGACTATAGTTGTTTTTACTGCAAACTGGAAAAATGTCTGAAAAGTTCCATCTTCATCTGCATAATCTAAATCCTTATGTCTAAAGAACACTGCATACACCATTTAAAAAGGATTTAAAACCCTGCTATACATCTTTATTCATAAACACTACATAATTAAGACAAATATGCTATTTGCATGAGCAAAACATTGTTATAATAAGAAGAATAATACATTAAAGTTGAGTTTAACCTGAGACGGAGAGCAAACTTTAAATGAAACACTTCAAAATAAAATAATCTAACAAGAAACAGCTGCTCTGATAGATAATGTGAAAATTTGCTGAAGACAGATTTACTTGATTATTGGATGAAAAGTATGTCTTCTCCCATAATCTGCCTGCAGAGTCTGTGTTCTCTCATTATTCCTTATGATGCATTCATCGTTTCACTCTCCCAGCTTGAATTATTTATTGCTAACTTGACCCCTTCATTTCTCTCCGTTCCTTTCTCAGTCAGCTCCTCCTTCAATAATAAACTCATCTCAGATCACTTCTTATGAAGGATTTTGCCTATTTTCACACCGAGGGTGGGATTTTTGCTTCAGCTGCGTTCAGATTCCTCTGTTTATCTTTGCCTCTTAGTTATTAACAAACATCACAGTTAACTGTTGTTGAAAAAGAGGAGAATTTATGAACGACACTAGATATTTTTCACCTCTGTTTGGTGGTTTAAAGGGAGAGTTCGGAGCTTTTGGAATAGTTTTGCAAAAAAAGGGTTATGAGCGCTCGATATCTTGTAGATGGCTCTTCGAATTAATTCATTTTGGAGAATTATTGATTAATTCTGAGCAAGGCCAAGACCGAACAGATTGCTTTTGTCAAAGTTTAAAACCGGTTCATATGAATACTGTCTTTTTTTTTAAAACCTTTACTCTGCTGTCAAACTCTCATCACACGGTTATTTGCATATAATTTTATGGTTGTTTACATGTGCAAATGAARGCAGCGGCTTCTTGTTGCACTTCTGGTGGAGCCTGGGGTACATCTGGCAGGAAGATCATAATGTTTCTGCCAGAAAAACCATGTAATGCAAAACTGATCGCAGTATGAAGATTGGAAATATAGCATTTGCATCATGCTATGGCTTTTTAAAACTGGTGTAGGTTTTAAGATGGCAGCAGTCCACTTCTGTCCACYGCTCAGGCTGGCTGTTGGAATTACACTTTGTTTCTGTAAAGTTTCTTCAAAGAGCTAAATACAGGACAGGTGATACGGACCGATGCCTTACTAACAGTTAATAAAAACAAGGAAACATGCTGGAAATATGTGTTTTTAACCTCAAATAATTTGCTTAGTGTTTTGTCCTGCTGTGCTTTATGCTTGCGTCTCACTGGGCTGCGACTGTCGAAGACTCAAAATTSTGAGAAAACAGGTGAATTTTCACAAATGTCGCTTGCCAACTAATCGCCTTCAGTGGCAGCCCAGTGATTATATCTAGTCAGCTCAGTGGCTCATTTGTCGTCACGGTTTACTGCACTCCGGACCCTGATGTAATTCCTTTGTACAACCTTCTCCAGGTGTGACAATAGCTGCTTTGAGTGTTTGGGTCCAGGGGAGCAGAACTGCAGCAGCTGTAACAGTGGTTACAACCTGGAGGCAGGAGCCTGTGTGGTCAGCACCATCTGCAAAGATGGTGAGTTGTCAGCTTTCACATTTCTCCCACGGTCCTTACGTCTGTCTGTTTTGTACATACAGCGGGTAAAATAAGTATTGAACACGTCAACATTTTTCTCTGTAAATATATTACTAGAGGTGCTAATGACATGACA